ATGTGCAAGGATCAGCCTCTTGATCATAGAGGAAAGCCACATGATCATTTACTTAAATTCAGTAATTTTCAAAGCACCTGTCCTGTGATGTCTCAGTTACAATCCTGGCTGCTGTGCTCCAACAGGCTGAGAAGTCAGAGCGGTTTGTCTTTGCTCTGACAGGTTCATGAACATATTACAGCTGAGAGGAATACTGCACTCCTTCTTTATTTTCAGTCCATTTATAAAAGAAATGCATTGCTCTAGGGTGATACATTTCATGTCATTGGCTCATTTCTATGCTGTGCTGAGTTGTAAAGAGAACTTTAAGAAAAGGCCAGACTGGGGCAATTCTCAAGTATCTTTAATTTTGCTTGTGACAGAACTGGTCAGAAGAGCCATTTGAAAAAATGTTAAAATATTGGGGGGTGCTTGGTCCGATGGAAAGTGTTATTTTCACACAAATGGCACTTTTGAAAAACATGAATTAAATTTCCTTTAGTGAATCGGCATGTTGAGATCTCACATTTTAATATACTCACAGAATGAAGAGATATGCACTTGCTTCCTTTTGTAACTGCCCACAATAAATTACATATTCGCAGTGGAGAAAACAAATACAAAATGGAAAAAGGTCAAAAGCAAAATTCCAAAGCTTTTTAAATGTGACTTTACAGCAGTATTGTTTGGTTTTTATTTTACAAACAAATAAAAAACTTCAGGCTGTGGGAGTGTGTGAATTCACGAAGTGAATCTTACGCAACTTAACTCGACTGGGCAGAGGTGCACACCCTTTCTTGCTTATGAAAAGACACAATTCAGCCCGAAGCTGGGGGAGGACATCCCAAGGTTTGGTTCTGTCCCTCCCAGCCCAGCTGCAGGCTGTGCTGCCAGAGCATTTAGGTTAGGGGTGCTATGAGGCTCTGGGCTGTGTGCTATCAGCACAGTTGGGCTTAAAATGATTACATTCCCTGATTGTAGTTTGTTCGTATTTTACAAAAACATCTCATTATTGATACAAGGAGTTGGGTAGTAGCATACGAATTTCTGCTGCATCTGGATAGACTTTGATTTTACCATATGGATCTCAACCCTCCTGTATGAGGTGAGATTTCTGAAGTGTCCTAAAGGATGCAGGCACCCAAATACAGTAGCGTCTGTGTGCCAGGTCATGACAAATGATCCAATTAGGGTGTCCTAGGAATTTTTTTACCCTTCCTTTAGGAGCTACCACCTGCTCAGCCAGGGGACTGCTTTTCAGGTTCTCCTAGTCCATTGCTACATGAAGTAAAACAGATTCACAACTGCTTTCTTTGTGCTTTGAAATCTCATCCACAGAACAAACTACTACAGTCCCTGCGAAATCAGTGAAACTCCTCTGAGTTGTAATAACCTAGCAGTATTAAGTGTTATAAGGCCAGCCAGCCTGGTGAATGAGAGGGTGAATAACTCTCATAGCCAAGGATTTTATAAGAAACCTTTGCATTTCAGCTTTTGCTTTGTGAGTCAGCATGCTCACTTACATAAAGGTTGAAGACCACAGCCAGAGCCTTGCTCTCCAGATGGGAAGTCTTTGTGGCAAGGTAAAGAAGCCATCCATTGCCTGGTGAAATTGTGATGTTCAGAAATAAGCAAAAGCAATGCCAAATTTGTTAATTTGATGGGAGCATTACAAGAGGAAAGCGACTGCATATGAAAATGCTGCAGCTTCTCCTTCTTTTTTAAGCTTTTATATATTAAACCCATCATTCATGCACATGCCACTGCTCCACCAAATGTTTTGGCTGTACAGAGCCACAGCTTCTGGAGCACACTGGTGATGGCCGTGGCCACAGCCCCAGTACCTGGGCAGGTCACCACCTCCTGTGGAGTGGACATCTGCAGGGTGATGACAGTACTGGAGGCTGATGGCTTTATGGGAGATCAAAGGAATTCGTGAGAGGTCATGAGAGGATGACATGAGGGTCAGACATCCATACTGCCTGAGAGCCTTTCAGGCAGATGATCTACTTACACTGTCATTTTTGGTCTATGTCAAGCAAGCATTTTTTCTTTATAAAGTAGCTCCAGCTCAAAACATGCCCTCACATTACACTAGCAGTTTTTAGCCGAGTGCTTGGTGGCTGGGTTTGGATGTAAACGGGAACTGCAAGGACTACAAAAGTGCTCCCATTGGTGGGCAAAGGCTTCAGAAGCCTTGCAAGGGAGTGTTTGTGTTTACAGGTGATTATTCCTCTATAAAGCAAGAATTTATTGATTGATTTAAAGGAGCTAAGTGATAACAGTCCTTTGTCGGAAATTACACATTTCAGTAGAAACTGCAAGGACTTTCCCAGACTCCCTAAACATTTCAAACTGTAATTTTAGTGATGATTTTTCAAGCCATTTTTTGCTTACCCGTCTATAAAATGTCTGTCTTGGTTGAGTATGACACCTCCACCACAGAATGTTGCCAATTCACCATCTTCTAACTCAGGTAAACCTCAGCAAAGTCAAGCTAATGGAAACCTGTCATACAACCTGACAGCTTACTGAATGCAAAGTCTGGTCCTGTCCAGCCTCTGCTACTTCACTTCCAGAGACAGGAGTTCACTAATTCTTTTTGAATTAACCTTTTGAATCTACCTGCAATCCTGCTTAAGTCCTAGGGAAAATCCTAAAAACTTAGTAGGTTTTTGGAAAGCCGACCTAATCCAGCATGAATTTTAAAGTACTAAGATGACATTAATAACTAAGACAACTTTTGAAGAGCACCTAGTCATTATTTAAATATTGTTTGTATTTATATTTCATAGAGAATATAGCCTTCAACATTACAAAGTTGCAAGGTGAGAGCCAGGAGTGGGCTTTAAAAATCACTGTCCTCTTCAAAGCTTTCATGTTCTCAGCTTCCTGAGAGCTTGTCATTGCTATTCAGAGATGTGCAAAACTTTCATATGGAAACTCTAAACCAGGAAAAGCTCATTTAGTTCAATTTAGATGCAATTTTAATTGATCCTGGTCTGATTCATGCTTTCAAGTAGAAGTCATAAAGAACTCATTGGTTCCAACACAATTTCTTTTTGAAAATTACCATCTCCATCTTTCATCTGTCTTCCTGCTCTGCTCAGCTAGTTTCTGTGGTCTTCTGAGACCTCAAAAGAGAACCAAAGTCATGGGGAAATAAAAGCAGCAGTTACTGTAGCTGAGGTTACCAGCCCTGCTCTGAGACCCTGCCATGAATTTTAAAAAAAGCTAGGTAGCCCACTGTGCACCAGGAAGAGAGAGCTTAGAGTTATGTACCTGAACACTTTGAACTTGAAAGAGGTTTTATTCAGGTGAAGAAGAGAGCTGCAGTTCTGCCATTTACTTCATTTCAAAATATATCCACTATCCAGGGCAAAACTGTAATTTTTCTTATACTGCCAAAAGCAGAGTGACATCTGAAAAATATTACTAGCCAAAGGTCAGATTCTTTAAATATTTTGTGAGAGCTAATACTATTATGGTTACTTATGTGAATATTCTTGTCACAAGGGTAACAAGTTTAACTTATCCAGATGCATTTCAGGGGAACTCTCCGCTAACAGTCACACCAGACAAAAGCTAAAGCACAGACCCTGCTCTCTCACATCTCCAGCTTCCATTGATTTTAAATGGGTGCACATGTCACTGGAGACAGGATTTGCCCCTAGCTGAGGACAACTATAATCCATACACTAAGATGGTTAAATCATTTAGATCTTGAGTTTAAGCAGACTCTTCTATCCACACAGACCCATGCTGCTTTATCAGCTTATTGCTGCTCATTTCGGGACTGTAATTTCAAAGAACATGAGTTCTCCTTTGTACCCATTCCAATGTCTCTCATTTTTTACATTACCTTCTTTGCTTTCATTTTATCCTCCACCTACACTCTATCTGGCAAGTTCTGCAATACAAACAGCCAGCTAAAGCTGATTTCATGTGCTTGGATGAAGAAAGTAAATAATACACCACCACCCCCCACCCAAAAAAAGAAAAAAAATCTGAGAAACATAGGGCATGCATAACCAAAGACAACTGATCTAAGTCACTCCTGATGCTAATCTTACTGCAAATAATATGTGGGGTACATGAGAAAATGTCAGATCCATGCTACCTCACAATTGCTGGCTTTCACTCCAAGTTGAAACTAATCCAAGGAAAAAAAAAACACAAAGGAAAGGCTGAAAGTTCGATCGTTATTTAGAAAGTTTAAAAGAAATAAAAAATGTAGCTCCCTTGAAACAATGTTAGATGAGTAATCTCACAAACTCCCCAAATAATATCAGTGTCTACAGCTGTTAAAGTTTATAGGTGCACAAAGAATGCAATTAAAACATGTTATATTGAAATCAAATAATTCCTTCCAATTAAAATGTAGAGAGATACTTTATACAACATGGAATGTTCCATATAATTATTCTTCAAAACTAGAATTTTGTGATTAATAAAATAAACCTAGACCTTGACTGAAAAAGAAACATTTCTGAAATGCATCAGACTTCATCCAAATATCTTGTCGGAGCAAAGGATCAGTGTTTTTAACACAATCCCATTCCACTGAAGTTAAAGTAAGGTGAGCGTCTCCCTTAAAAAAATCAGAGCACATAAAACACTTTTGGTTTTAGCATCAAAGATGTGTTTACTGCAAACACAGAAATGTAAGGGAAATGAAATGGTGAAAAAGGTTGCCACAGTTTCAAGGATATATTTTTAGAACTTTTACACTGGAGACCTATGAACCATAAAGTGTAGTTTTCATACACAGCACACACCAGTGTTTCATCTCCTCTGCCAACTGGATGTTGCTGCATGTTTCCAATCCCTAGTAAGTTTTATAAAGGCAAAACGAACTTCACATGACTCCTCTCCTCTGCTTTCCTTCCCCTGTTGGGTCACATCCTGCCAAATCCCCTGAGCCCACCAACAGCTACCCACCGTGGGGAGCACGGCACTGCGTGCTCCTGCCCCAGCGTCCTGCCTGCAGGAGCTCTCAGCGCCTGGTGCCACTCGCAGAGCAGTCAGCACAGCCTGCTAACATGCACAGGATGAGGCCCTTAATCACTAACAGTTCCTCTGGAAACTCTACCAGAGATAAAAAGTACAAAGACACTGTTGGTTCCAGTCCCCTTATTGAATTTTCATTGCTTCTTTTATTGTAGCCATGAATTCAGTCCATAATGTCACGTGCTCTTTGTTCTCCAGGCTGACATACATTTTAATACCCAGCGCAATATCTACGCAAAGACTAAGTGTGTTCATGTGTAGGAGAGTTAACACTTCACTACAAACATGGTTATAGTTACAGATTAAAAGCAACACTTTCAATGATTCTACAGCTTAATATTTCCAACTCCCATCTCCTTCTGAAGGTCCTCCTCCCCTCCTTTGCCCCCGCTACAAAAATCTCGACGCAAGAAATGCTGAGCATACAAATTATGTCACTGACATCTGGAAAGAGACATGACTACCCAAGTAAAAAATAAACCCAACGGAGGTCATGGCTTTAACAGACTGTCGCTCTATATTTAAACTGATTGATTCATACAAAGACATAATTATAAAGAACATTGGAATCAGCAGCTCCCAGCTCTCAGGATTGCAGGCACAATCATGTTTACAGGAAATATATTTTAAAGGCTATGCCTGGCATAAGCTAATTGATACACTCGATACTATGCTACACAATAATTTAAAGTTAAATTGTGAATAATGCCTACTTATTTTCCTACTTTCTTTCAACTCTACATGATCATGTGTCATTTTTCAGGATATTCTTTGCATAAAATCTATTGGTTATGCAAATAAAAGGCTTTGTAGAATAATGTACAGTAACTAATTTGTATAATCAGTTTCCCTCAATTCAGTGTGATAATGATATGTAAAGCACATCACTACAGACTGTCTGTGAAATGAATTCTGTCTTAATATGCTAGTCAACTAGCCACTCGACCTTTACACAGGCTCACTGTAAGAGGAGCAGAAAAACCCACACACATTCTTTCAATTTCTAAAGGGAAATTCGACTCTAGCCATAGAACAAAGAAAGAAGAAATAGAAGTAAAAGAAAATCAAAGAAAAAGTGATTTGGATTCAAGGGGATCAGATGTTTCATTTATTGCAGGTTGGAGACCTTCAATCAGTCAAATGAAAGACACATTTGTATTAAAATACCTACAAGGCAGAGAGAAAGCCTTGATCAGGTGTATTAGATTTAAGTTACAGCTCTCTTGCTGAGAGATGTGAACCCACCTTCCAGTCTATCTGTTCTCAATATTGAAGGTTTTCTGTGTTACAAACATTAGGTGAAAGGTAGCTTGCTTGCCTTCCCACGTATCTGCTGGATATTAATGATATATTTGAAGCATACACTACAAGGAGACATGAACTTAGTGTGCACCACAGTCACCCATAGCAAGGGATGCTGAAACAATGTCAGGGATGTGACATGAGCAGCAGTCGGGAGGCTGCCAGCAGAGAGGCTGCAGCTCCATTGGTCACTAAAAGCATGGTGTTTCCAAAGGTAAAATTCCTCTTTGCCATAGTGGCAAATGTGCAATTTTTATTGTAATAGGGCTGTGAGCCCTCCTACACAGGTGAGAAAAGAAGCACTATAGCAAGAGCCCCTGCCCTGGTTCCCACTGTGTTCAGTCTGACTTCTCATTACAAGTTGTGCAGGTGGTAACAAGTCAAGTGCTGACCTCATGCCTCATTTTTCACACCATCTGTTCCTCACAAAAACTCCTTGAACCCACTGTGAGCCCTTGAACCCTACACAGAGAAGAGCACCAAGCTTGATGGCAGAGGTCAGGTCTTCTACATCTGCAGTCCTAGGGTGACAGTTTTGGTTACGTTGCCTGGAGGAGGCTCCTGAAGTGCTTTATTAACTGATTACCATTGCTTGTAAATTACTGGACCAACATTATTCCAAAACATTTTGTCTTATTAATGGATTCTGCTGAGAGTTACATTCACAGCAAATTTTCTGTAGAAACAGAGGCTCTGTTATTGGTGGTTACATCCCTGATCTTGACTTGGGAAACCCAAGTCCAGTCCTTGCTCTGACTTACGCAGAGCAAGGATTTGAGCCTGGATCCCCCCTAGCAGTGCCAATAATGCTTGTCACTGCAATCCTGCTTCTTCTGTCAGCGCAGCATCTTCTCTCTTTCACTTTGCCCCAGTCTAAGGGATGTACAATGACCCCATACACTGGAAAAACTGTCCCTGAGCCTGCCATGAGGTCACACAGACCCTGCATGCCAGCACACTAACAACCAGGAGTTACTGCTAGAGTGAATTTGCACATAAGCTTCAGACTCAAGTACTGGTCATCTCAACTGAAAGACAAGTTCTTTCTGCATTATACAAAACATCTCAGTAATTTAATAATGAGATTAATCCCACAGATGCCTGAAGTAGGTCCTCTGGCAAAAGATACACACTACACAAGCAAGTTAAACATGTAAGTTTTAGAGAAGCTATTTCACTGGGAAGACAACTTCTGCATGCTGTTTCTCAGGCTTACCCCAATATACAATTATTGCATTCCAGAAAGTAAAATACCAAAAATATAGTCTTAACTCAGGCCATAATTTTAAATATTAGCTCCTGATATCTAAGTGCATTTCTAAACAAGCCACTATAACTCTGATCTCTGCTTTCACATATGCATTCTGCAAATACTGCATAGTGGTATGAAAATTTTAAAGCCATTCTGCTCGTAAAATAAAATATCTGCCTTGTAAAGTTTAGCTGATCTTTTCATTTATATACCCGTAAATTCTCCATCAATCCAGAAGATGTGTTATTTTTCTTTTATTTCCTTATTTTTAATATTTTCTTTTGGAAAAAAGAAGTATCCCCCCAATAACGTTTAAATAATGCAGCATATCAGAGATATGTAGTCTGGTTTTGAGCTGGTCAAAGGGTGAACAGGCAAAAATAGAGTACTTGAATACAGCTTATTTTCCTTTTATTACAGCTATCTTTTTCTGGATTAAACTGAGGGCCTGTAACAGCACAACTTCCATGGCCGAATGGGGAAATCTGTGCAAGAATTTGTATCCTCCTTACATACGATAACACATCATACAATTTTCACAAGTGGATTACAAAGCAGCACCCCGTACATAGCAGTACAGCTGATAGACTAAGATAAAATCTGCATCTCAGAGATGGTATTTCATGTACAGTTGAAATCTGCTCAGAAGGAAAGGAGCTATAACACAAGGCTCCCTTTTTAACAAAGTGAACAAAAGGACCCAATACTGTGAAATGAATTCCTTCATTCTATTTATAGTAAAATCTCTTTCAGTGCATGGACATTTAGTGGTTTACTTGACATGTCTTTTTTTCAATGTAAAAAGTAGCAAAACGTGCATTCTCCCTCTGAAGAACTGATTATTTGAGGTTAGGGAAGGCAGCCATGGAAGAACGTACAAATTCTCCAGCAGGAGAACAGGGAGTGCACAAGGGTGCAGCAATAGACTTGAGTTCTGTTGTGTCTGAACTGAAACACAAGATGGTAGCCAGGTCCTGCCTTGCCTTTGGGAAGACAGTGTAGCCCATTGATGTCAATGGTGCCTGGCTAAACCCTGATATTGTCCTTACTACACAAGCACATTTGAAATCCTTTGCATCACACCCACTGTCAGATCATTTACAGCTCTTGCCATTTGCCTTCTGAACAATTCTGACCAAAGCAACAACAAAAGCAGCAAGACTGGAGCTTCATAAAACACCCCACAGTAGTCTTAATACTTCTTGAGCAGACACATCATCTTCACTTAATTTTCTGACTGTCTTAATTAACACATTTCAAAAATATCTGAATACCTTACAAGGCTGTTGTCCAGAAAACATGAGACTATCTGCCTGCCAAACACACAGTAAGACAGCCATCTGGGGCTAGCCAAGACCACCATACCCTAAGAAATTCTGACAGTCACCCTGGTTCCTTACTCAGTGGGTGACTCCATGTCTCAAACCTTACCCTTAAACCACACTTCAGCAAACATGCACAACTACTCTGATATAGCACTCATTCCATGTGGAGGGCGTCACGTAATATTTAAAGCACTTTAGGTTCATTACAGCAAGAAAAACCTGCCTTCAGGTGAAATCACCTAAAGTTTGGCAAGTCATTAGTTAATTCAACGTGTAAAAGATCTGTGGTTGTGTCTAAAATAAAGATCAACAGCAACCATCATCAGAAAATCCCCAAATGTAAGGAGGGCTGAGGTTCATTGCCATTGCCTCCTCCATCCCTGGATAAGCAAAGCCTGCTTGTCTCCCAGCTTCAGAAGCAGCAGACTGTTTGAAAGGGAAGACTGTGCATTTGGCAACTTTGCTTGATTCTCATCTCAAGGGGAAAATTTGTTTCCACCCCGTGTGGACATTGATCACTAGAAGGAAGCTCTCATAAACAAAATGCTGGAGGCCATGTAATCTTCAGCCTTCCCTTTCCCCCCAGCTCCCAGCAAGCCAAATGTAATGTATGAAACAGCAGGGATGTAACTGGCAAAATGTCCTTGAGTGCAAAGGAGATGTGTGAAAACATACCATCTACACCAACATGAACCAGCAACTCTTGCTAATCTGCCCACATTGTTTCAGGGATGCACTTAAACATTAAGCATGAAATAATAACTTTCTAATCACAGCCTGCCAAAACAGGGCAGAATCACAGCTCAAACAAAGAGAATCTACCATCTAATCTAAGATGAACCCAATTTCTTTTCTTATAGAATATTAGAGACTTTTAGGGGACTGCAACCTGCCCTGACATATGCCTTCAATTTCTGGTAAATAATCACAGTCATCTTTGCTTTGATATAAAATATGTGATAAGTAAGAATTATTTCCCAATTCCAGTTTGTTAAAGTGGAAGTCAGACTTTCATCCATGCCAAATTGTTGCATCAGAAGATCATGTCAGAAATATCTGGAACTTCTTATAATCTAAAAGCTTTAGCTAGACCACGTTATCATCTCACTTGTGGCCATTTCAAAAACAAAATAAAATGAAAATTAAATAATGGTATCAGAACTATGACATAAGGGGGTTTAGGCCAAAGCAAATTAATTTATATCTTAAAAACAAATAAAGGCCTTACTATTGCAGAAGAATGTTGCCTCCACGCTGCAGAGCTATCAGACACTGTCACGTCACTGCAACTTCCACTTAGAATGTCACGTACCCTGTAGGTAAGAGATACATTGCATAATGTTACAGATGGCACAGCTCATAACAGTCAGGATTACATTTATTAAAATCAGATGAAATACTTATTACTAGATTCAATGATTTTCCAGGCAAGGTGACCTGAGCTGCTTCTGTGCAGTACCACAGTAAGATTTTCCTGCTGTAGAAAATAGCTACGGGTAGAGCATAACAATTACTGTTCATCAGTACCAATTACAACAGACACCTACTCTAAAACTACATTCATAAAAATTGGAGTTTACAAATAACTGGATCCTCAGCATCATTATTTTACTCACTTTCACCGTAATTATTCATGCAGCTGCATATGTGTTTATGTGAGGGCTGGGGCCATGGCTGCTAACTTCACAAATCATTATTCACTTGGGAACCACTGTATGTGAGTATCAGGGGTGCCTTCTGCTTTTATATTATCTCCAGTTAAAATGGTTGTGGACAACAAGGAGAAACAAAAAAAGGCCCCTAGCAACAACATCTTCTTCCATTAGCCTGGACCTTCACCCTCAGAAAGAAAAAGCAAACTAAATTTTTCAGGAGTAAACCATAACCCAAAATGTGTTTATGCAATAACTGAATTGTTATACACAAAATAAAGTCATTTTATGAAAACAATCATCTCAGCTTCCTACTTGGTGAAAAGGACTGCATGTGGTAGCCAGCCTGAACACAGGGGTTATCACCGTACCAGTGTATATACATGTACACGTACAGGTCTATCTTCCTCTAGCTACCCACACTACATATAAAATCTCTCACATGGATAATGCCTAATTCTTCAGAGCAATGGATTAACCACAGTTGAGCAGTGGTTTTGAGCATACACTGGTACAGCTGAGGGCACAGCGGCAGTGCAGATATACATAGCTGTGGAAGCCGCCAGCAGGACCAAGGCCACAGCTACACGAAGCCCACACAGCACCTGTGTTTTCCTCCTCAGATACTGACAGGAATGCTCACACAGCCCAGGTCACTACTGAGGAGGAAACACATCTCAAAGGCACTGGCTTTGCCCAGGCCCTCCCTCTACCTTAGGCATGGAGCTGCAGTTGGGCCTGAGGCAGTGCAGGCTGCACCCCAGCTTCCCCTGCACCCAGCCACCCTGCCTGGGTGTTTTATAGTTATTTCCCTCTCTCCTCCTCCAAGCTGGCAGTTGTAAATCTACCTTTCTGAAAATTCAATAAAAAAATTAATTGGGGGGAGGGGGGAAGTCATTTCAACCGTAACAATAAAAGACCAATTGACTTCTCAATTTTCGAGTGGGCAGGGGAAGAAGTCAGGCACAGCACAGGGACAAACTCAATTCTCCAGAGCTCTCCCCTTCAGGATTGCCAGACCTACAGTCTCAACGGTGCTGTGTCCCCTACCGCTTGCTCAATTCCGGATAGGTATTATTTTCTCAGCTCCCAGGGAAGCAAGAATTCATTCTACATTATTGATGACTCAGTGCTCAGCCGCTGCGAGGGCCTTTGGTTCAGTGCTTTCCGCAGGCTGTCACTCATCTGCTCCAAGAGCTCCCATTATGCCAGGGCAGGCGGCTTGCTTCCCCACCTCCTTCCCAAATATCTTCCTTTCATAAACAATCAGAAGAAAGGAACCGAAACAAAAACTGGGGGACATGGTGCAGTGACAAGCCTTACCCACACTGAGGCACCAGCCGTGTGAACTTGTGCGTTAAAGGCGGCAGAGGGACATGAATCGCTGGGAGGGAGGGAGGGAGGGAGCCTCGGAAGGGCTCAGTTTGGCTACCACAGGGCAGCTGGTCTGTATTTTGATTGATCCCTCTCTTGCTTGTAAGCCTCAGATCATGACACAAACAGTTTGAGACAGACTGAGTTTTCTGAATTCTTCCAAAAGAACATGCCTGGTGCCAGAAACAGCATACCTTGACTGAGCACCAGTCAGAGTAGGAGTTGGAAGACGCACACTCCTCACAGGGCAGGATCCATCTCTTCCTCTTTCTGTTCTTTGCCTCTTGCCTTTCCTTTTTCTTGTTTTTGTGGTGTTTGGGTTTTTTCTTTTTTATTTCTTTGTGGGTTTTTGTTTGTTTTTTTTCTTCCTTCTCCAACCTAAACTATTAATTCATTTTCTTTTGGAAATCTCTGCACTAAACAAGTATAGATCCACATGCAACTACAGATATAGAGGCTGCACAGTAGTAATTAAGCCTCAGTGTGTTTCAAGTAGGAACACCAGATGCCAGAGATACTCTTAGTTAATGAACAAGCACCACAGACCTGGTAATTACCAACTAGAATGTGCATCTGTAGCCTCTGAGGATGCAAAATACATGCACAATTTTTGCAGAAATCAGTTCTGTCCATCAAAATATAGTTGAGGTGCAAGATAGTTCAAGTCCAAATCCTAATATTTCACAGATGGCCCTTAACCCACAAATTTCTCCACACTGACTAGCATATGCCTACTTGCCCTACCAGTTCTTCAATCCAGGGATATAACTGTTTCCAAAGAAGGATGACAATTTGCTTGGTTCTAAGAAAACCAAAACTAACAGTTAGCAATCTTGATGAACAGGTTCACAACTAGAAAGCAACTGTAATAATACAGTTGGTCTATTCTAAATTAAATGAGAGAAACCTCAAGTTCATTTTTACGATACAGGTTTATCATGAGGAGTAGTTTCTTCTACGTGTTTTTATGTAGTCCTAGAATATTTTGGGAGGAAAACCTTTCAAGAAACCATAGATGCATATTCAGGCAAAGTGTCAGACCTTACGTTTCCAAATACAAAAGGAAGTCACGAATTTGTATTCAGGTCCATACTTTTCTCCTTCCTACATCTAGAGGGTTTGAATCAGTGGCTCTCCTCTGCTTGTAATAGTGCAAATTTTAAGAACTCTATAATTAAATCTTTATTTCTGTGAGTATATTTCTATTAGCTAAAACTCTTTCTGTATTATTTCTAATCATGAATGTAGAGTGGGAACAGCAGTAGAAGCTCTCCTAGTTGCCCAATTTGTGGAAGTTTTATAGAACTGATTTCTAAATATTTGGCAATGACTATTTACTAAAGCCTTAGATATTTTTGCTTTTAACCTTTGAACCCATCTGTCCAAACCTCTTACATTACCAGTATTAACCATGCCCGCAAACTTGTATAAAATGGGGAGAGGCATGGGTTATTTGAACTGTTCAATGAAAGACAACAATTTAAAGAAAATTTACAGTGAAATCCTATCTTACCCCAACAATTTCAGTGATTGTGAAAAAACACCTAAAAAAAAAAGTTCAGCAATTTCACACAGTGGAAAACAGCCCAGGGCATAAGAAAACTAAAACCAAACAGTTTGCCGTCAGTGCTGTAGACTGTGTTCAGTAAAAACAAAAGATCAAACAAGTTCTGTAATCATTATATAAAGCACATTTGCTATGGCATGTGAAGAAAACATACTTCCTTCCTAATACTAATTAACATTTGAGAGTTGTGGGCTGAAATGCAGGATAAAAATAGCTGTTTAATCACTCAGCAAGATGTAAATGTTATATATAAAGTATACCTAACGGGTTGGAATATTTATCCCAGAAGTAAAGAAAGCTTTCACTACTCATGAATTATAAAAGCTTCTTTTCCTGCCTCCCTGCAACAATACATGGAGACTTTGCAAGTATGTAAGACTTAGTATGCATGCAAACATAGATTGTTTGCAATTTCCCTTATTTGTAAGTATTAAAATGTTTTTGTAGAAGCCAAAGTTGTGAGGAGCGAAGGAAAGTGTGAGCAGAAAACATAATACCAAATGGTTTTACGAACAGCACAAAGACAATCAGTTATTGTATGTATTTGAGGGTTGCAGAAAATGAAGAAAAAAAAACCCAAAACTAATACTAACATCAGCTTAACCTGAACAGTCCTTAAATACCCCTTCAAAATGTGCTACTAACATACACAAATCAAACAGCTCTGCTGTTTGATTCCCAGATCTACCTAGGTACATTCCCACATCTACCTTTGCTTTTCTGAAATTATTTCTTCTTTCCAGGAGAGTGGAGTGCTCCACTCTTCCACAAATCAATTCAGACATGTTTTGTCCTTTTTGTCATCCCTAGCTATTACTTCCCCTTTCCATATCCTGTGGTTTCCCAATCCTATGGTTTCCCCACTGCCAGCAGCACCACTGTTAAATGATTCCTCATGGGCAGGAGCCACCACTAAACAGAAGACAACCGTCATGGTACCAACCAGACAACCAGAGCCTCCAAAATATTCGCAAGCATAAACTATACTAAAAAGTTCAGGGTGCCAAATGTTACTGAAATAAGATTTCAATAGTTTCCTGGTAATAACATTTCAGAAGTTTCCTAGTAACTTTCCCTAGCAAGAACTGCAGGTAGGATAACAACTGCAGAAAAGGCTTTGAAATATGCAGTGCTTAACACTGCACACTGAAAAGCTAACACTTTCCTGACTATTTAGAGACATGCCATATTTCCATCCTCCAAGATTTTTAACCACCTGTCGAGCTCCTTGTCTAATACAGACATCAATGAAATATATTCTTGAGTAACAACAGTGATCTGTAGGACTCAGCTGAAATTCATGAGCAGAGCATATGAACGCATCTCCATGGTCACTGCCCCTCTTATCACAACTTTGGCTGCTTTGGACTGGATTCAGGAGCAATTATTTACCCAGCAGAAAACTCGTCACAACATGATGATGAGTTTTGACTCAACACTGGTTATACCTAGCCCATATAAACAAAGCCATTAGGAAGGCAAGACTGTCCATTGGGTGCTAGGCTAATGAAAAAGAAAATGGTGGGAGTTTTCCATCATCAGCTTGGGGAAATAAAACACCTCTCTGTGCAACCTCTATAATCCCAGGCTGAAATCAGAACCCAGATTCAAGCTACCTGCCAATCCAATCTCCTGCTGTAAGAGGGATGAGAGTACAATTTCAGCCTGTGAAGATTAAATAAAACAGATCCTTAGAAGACCAAGAGTACAGCGCAGGACA